CATACGTATCAAGTTACATTTATTCATTTTTAGTGTAAAATATAACCTGGAAGGAAAAAAATCTATTATCAGGAACTCACTTGGTAAATTTAAAGTGTTCAAAAAGTTACATAACTTTAAAATATATATATATTTCTGGGCTTAATAATCTTAAGACTCAAAAGAATCATCTTAATATTGAATCTGCTACTTAAATTTCTCCCTCCTTATTACCAATGAGGAGACCTTTAGATTTTTCCAAGCAAATTAAAATAAAAGAACTAGGGGCGCCTGGGTGGCTCAGTCGGTTGAGCATCTGATTCTTGGTTTTGGCTCAGGTCATGATCTTGGGGACATGGGTTCAAACCCTGTGTCAGGCTCCAAGCTCAGCAGGGAGTTTGCTTCAGATTCTTTCTCTCCCTCTCCCTCTGCCCCCACCTGTCTCTCTCTCTTTTTCTCCTCTCTCTTTCAAATAATTAAATAAATCTTTAAAAATTTTTAAAAAATAAAAGAACTGACTTTCTTAAAAATTAGATCCAGTGGTTTCTCAAAGTCTAGTCTTGTTTAAGCTTTAGAAGACACTTCAGAAGTAATTTAGTTGAACCTAAAAATATTCAAAACGACAACACAGGCTTCTTAACTATTGGCAAAAGCTCTTAATTAAGCAAACATTTATTGAGCACCTATAATTATACAAAGGGGAATTCAATTTACAGATGCTGGATGCTCCCCACTGCACTATCTTTCCAGAATCCTATCTGATTGGATTTAAGTTCCTGCTCCATATCTTGTAGGAGATTTCATATGAATAATTTGACCTCTATACTTCCTCATCTGCAAAATGAAAGTAATAATTTACCTCATAAAATTGCTTCAAATGAATTAAATTAGATAATGTATGCAAAAAACAGGTGTAAATGTGACTTTTAAAATAATAATAATAATAGTTTATAAGACATTATTATTAAACTTTGCATGGTGTTGCATTCAGGAAGTTCCCTTGTTGGGATGCCTTGGTGGTGCAATCGGTTAAGCATCTGATTCTTGGTTTCAGCTCAGGTCGTGATCTCAGGGCCCTGATCTCAGGGTCTCGAAATGGAGCCCCAAACTGGGCTCCGTGCTCAGTGCAGAGTCTGCTTCAGACTCTCTCTCCCTCTGCCTCTCCCCGCTGCTTTCTCTGTCTCTTTCTCTCTCTCTCTCAAATAAATACACCTTTAAAGAAGAAGGAGGAGGAGGAGGAGAAGAGGAGGAGGAAGTTCCATTATTGCAAGTTTACAAAGATTTCCTAAGAGAAGTGACCAGAGCTTGAATTTTGGTCTATCACCTTAGGCCACATGCTGCTTTGCAACTGTGAGGAGAATTAGGAAATTCTTTCTCTCAATATTTTCAACTACTGAACACTCTTCTACACTCCCTAAGATTCAAGTTGAATTTAAATTCGCCTCTCATGTAGGAAGTGGCAACTATGTTTGACTGATTGACATAACTCCAATGGGGAGGAATTCTGTCAATAACAGTAATAAATATATGTGAACAGGCGAACAGAAGATCTAGTGATGAAACCATAGCTGTTGGCTCGCCTCTCTGCTCATAGTCACCTCTTGTGAACCAGGAAGCATTCAAGTCACATGTTCTCCTCAAGGAGAAATGCCTCATAAACAGGTATTAGAGGAGGAAAGCATTTCACCAAAGCCAGGTAGTCTTTACATAAAAGCAATACCAGGAAACTCTAAGCAGCTTTTTAATCTGTGGACAAGATAATTACTGAGACTGAGATGGTAATCATTATTCCCATTAAGAGAGTGATAAGCACAAAAATCAACTCAAAATGCTTTATTTTTTTTATTTTTTATTTTTTTTAAAGATTTTATTTATTTATTTGACAGAGAGAGAGAGAGCGAGAGCAGGAACACAAGCAGGAGGTGTGGGAGAGGGAGAAGCAGGCCCCCCGCCGAGCAGGGAGCCCGATGCAGGACCCGATCCCAGGACCCTGGGATCATGACCTGAGCCGAAGGCAGATGCTTAACGACTGAGCCACCCAGGCGCCCCTCAAAATGCTTTAAAGACTTAAAACATAAGACCACAAACTATAAACCACTTAGAAGAAAACATAGGTTCCAACAACCTACAACATTCTATCTTTTATCATTGGAAAAAATTCCATTAGTAAGTATATTTAGAAAGAAAAATGATCTTTAATGATATTTGTTTTCTGTAATTGGATTATTTATTTTAGAGCGAGAGAGAGCATGAGTTGTGGGGGGAGAGGGAGAAGGAGGCTCCCTGCAGAGCAAGGAGCCCAACACGGGGCTGGATCCCAAGACCCCAGGATTATGACCTGATCCGAAGGCAGATGCCCAACCGACTGAGCCACCCAGGTGCCCCTGTAATTGGATTTTTATACATAGTTTATTTGTGGAAGAAAAATATTGACTAAAACTTACCCTGGTACTCTCTATCATACCTAATACTTACAGGGAAATTCATGTGGAGTATACACAGAGATATCCTCCAAATAAGTGTTAATAGCCTTTCCAGTAGTCAAGTCATTACACAAGAATCTTTTAATCCTCCATTAACTCTCCCAGTTTCCTTCACCTCATCCTACACAGGGACTTTGACCAAAGAGACACCATTCTGGCAGGGGAATTATGACAAACAATGTTGATACTATGGATGACAGCAATAAGACAGCCTTCTATTATTCTTTTCTTTCTCCTCTTCCTCTCCTCCTGCTTTAAAAAAAAATTTTTTTTTTTCAGAGTAATTTTACCCACATTATAAACCAGGTAATTTTTACAATAATCATTTGAGGCAGGCAGTACAGGTATTAGCTGTCCATATTTTGCAACTGAGAAAACTAAACCAGGCAAAGAGAGATTGTACAAGGAACTGGCCTATAACACAGTTTCTTTGGCTGCAAGCACAAAATTTTCTCCAATTGAGAAGGAAAACTGGGGATACATGTAGACAGGAAAACCAGAGAGCCTCAGAGAGCCTCAGGAGCCACGCTGGAGATTCACTAGGCAAAGTGCCACTGTGAGCAGGAGGGAATATTTAGAGATGAAGTCATCTAGTCCATCACAGCCATTTTACTAAAGAGGAAACCTGCTTGCCCTCAGCAGCTAGAAAGTGTGAAAGAGTCGAGGGTCTACAGGCAGGAGACCTGGGTTCTGGCCTCATTGTGCCACTAACCTTAGCACCAACCTACCAAGCCATCAACCTGCAGACATTTGACTTGGATATCCTACAAGAATTTCAAAACATGTCCAAAATCTTTCTCTCTGCATGCCCTCCCCTGTCAACCCCAACTCCTGTGGTGATCATCTCAATAAATGGCCTGGGACAGGATCTTAGCAATCATCCCTCTCCTCTCCTTCATCTCCCATGTCCTCTCAGTTACCAAATTCTACTACAAATCTTTCAGGTCCATCTCTTCTTCCCCATTTCTTCTGCCACTGTCTCGGTTCAGGCCCTCACTATCCTTGGCCTGGGTTAGGTTACCACAGCTGTCCAACAGGTTTCCTGGCTCCCACTCTTGCCCTGTTTCAATCCAACTGCCACCCCGCCTGCCACCACAGAGAGCTTTCTAAACCAAAAATTGTCACTGCTCTAATTATTATTAATCTGTTTTCCACCAACAATTGGATGAAGCCTAAAGTCCCAAGCAGGATGTCCTAATCTGTTTGTCATTTGGCCTCTGCCCTCTTCTCTCACTTCATCTTTCCCCACTCATAACTTCAGCCAAGCCCAAGTTTTGCAGTTCCTCCAAGGTCACCTTTGGCTTTGCCACTAATGGTTCACTCTTCCTGGAAGCCTCCCCTTCCCCTGCCCATTGCCTGGCTAAAATTAACTCACCCTTCTAGACTCAGCTTAAGTTGGAATTTTTCCTGGCCACCCCTTTTATATGTTCCTTTGATACTCCCGTGGCATCTTGTGCAAACGAAAGAGTCACTATTCATCCTGAACTATGTTTGCTCACACATCTGTGTGCCTTGCTAATAAACTCAGCTGTGGGATGGCAGGGACAGCATCCTTTTCAGTGTTTAGAATTAAATATTCATCCAACAAATATTTGAGAACCTACTTTATGCCAGATATTGTAGATATGAGGGATATGGCAGTGAGCAAAGCAAAGACACTCCTCGCTCTTAAGTGGGAGGCGACATCGCTGATAAATGAACACATAAATAAGCAAGAGAATAGGAGAGTGAAAAGTGCTTTACAGAGAATTAAAATAAGCCACGTGCTAATGAAAGCGACTGGATGGTTCCCTTGGATGGGTATGTCAGTGAGTTCCCTCTGGGGAAGTGACACTTAAGCTGATGAGGGAATGCCAATGAACCGGTATTGAGAAAAACATTCCAGGAGGGAGGACTACCAGTACAAAAGAACCAAAGGTGGCCATGTGGATGTGAAGCGTGGGAAAGTCGTGAAGATGGGGTCAGAGAAGAAGACAGGGACCATACTCTGTGAACTTTGTAGGCCAGAGTGGAGTTTCGATTTTGTGCTAAGTGCGATGGGGAGTGAAATGATCTGATTTATAGCTAGGGCTGGTATGTGGATAGTGGGTCTCCCGGAGTCTTAAACAGATCAGTTTGGAGGAGAGAAACATCTGGATACAGAGGTCGCAGCAGTTTGGGACCCAGTGGACGTATTTGGGATTACGTGCGAGTGACCGGGACCTGCCGGTGGGCAGATGAATTAAGGCGCAGCGCACGCAGAGTTTGGGCCCGGACGCCCGGGTTGGTACTGGAATACAGAGCAGGCGCACGGTGACTCCTAGAAGGAAGAGGGTACGGAAAAAGTTGCTTTGGGCGCCCGTCCCCCACCGCCCCGGACTCTGGGGAGAGCTCGGGTCAGGCAGCTGGACAGAAAAAGAGACACGCCCAGACCCACACTCGTCGACCTGCCAACGCCGGGCCCGAGAGCGCCGAGAAACAGCCCGACCGGCGGCGCGCGCGGACCCGGACTCCACGTGCCGCGCGCGGGGGTTTCCGCGTCCTCTGGGCGGAGCCGGAAGAGGAAGTCGGCGCTGCCGCGGCGGCCCCAACAGCAGCGGCGGCCCGTTCCTACCCCCGCCGTCCGCGCCCGTCCGGCCCGGCCACGGAGGCAGCGACGCGGCGGGAGCCGGAGCCGGAGCCTGTGCCCGCCGAGAAGCGCCGCGCCGCCGGGCGCCCAGCAGTCCGATGGGGCCGCAGCGGCCGCTGCGTACGGCCGCGACCGCCCTGCTCTGGGGCTTCCTGCTCCCGCTGGTAAGGGGGACGGCCGGGAGCTCGGGCCTCCCCGGGGCGGGGCCGGGGCTCCCTGCCCCTTCTCCTCCCCACCCCCGGGCGACTCCTTTGCCCGCGCCTTGACGGCCTGCCCCCTTCCCGTTTCTCCGTTTCCTTCCAGCCTCCCCTTCGCCCCCTTTCCTCCCGTCTTCCCACCCCCCCCATTCCTGTCCTTTGAAGTCCTCGAAGTACCCACCCCCGAGCAAGCTCTTCCGCGGAGCCCTTCTGGCTACTTTGACCTTGAGGATTCTCTATAGTTTTTCACGGTTCCGGGCATTTTAAGTTGACCTGAGTTTTATCGTCTACCCTTTCTTACAGCATCTTGATCTCTTTCACTCTCCAGAAGAAGAAAAAAATTATACGTGTCCCCGGGGTGTTTAGCGGTTCAAAGACTGCGCTTTATTGCTCGAATACAGATTTTTTTTTTTTTTTTTTTTTTGGCTTCCTCCTCGTTCCTGCTTCCCTGTAGGGCTCGTTCGATTTCTTTGTGTGTGTGGTGGGGGAGGGTGTGGGTAATAGTAATAACTTAAGATAATTTTTTAAAAGACACATCAAAGTGTAATATCTTTGTGGTTTTCAGTTCTCCGTCTAGTTTAATGGGGAGGGGAGTCGGTTAAGTAACAAATAATGTGTTCATAGATGTGTTTTCATAATTAGGAAAAATAATAATGTTTTAAAATTCAACGTCAATGGGGCACCTGGGTGGCTCAGTCGGTTGAGTGTCTGCCTTCAGCTCAGTCTTGATCCCAGGGTCCTGGGATGGGCTCCCTGCTCAGCGGGGAGTCTGCTTCTCCCTCCCTCAGCCTCTTCCCTTGCTTGTGCTCCCTCTCGCTCTTTCTCTTGCTCACTCTCAAGTAAATAAAATCTTTTTAAAAAATTCAGCATCAAGCAAACGGAGCTTCAGCGAATGGTCAGGACCTCGGTGTTCGGTGTTTCAGTTTTTATTTCTTGGAAATTTGACTTAGGGAGTTTGAGGTCAGAAACTTTTGTGAGCTCTGTCTACACGGAATTGATATGGTGTATGTATGCCTCTCTGGTTCTTTCCATTAGATGTGTAACTTCTCTGAAAGAGTGTATTTTGCATTCTCTATTTAAAGGTTTACTGTTAATGAGTATATTTAAAAGTGTCTTTAACATTTATTAAGAAATCAAAATCTAAAATGGTTAAGTGCCTTTGGTGTACTCCTAACTTTGTTAGGCAGCATTAGGAGCATGAATGAGATAGTGCATCTAAAAATTGCTTTTGTGGGGTGGAGGGGAAGTACAATATAAAGAGAACAACAAAGGCACAGTGTTAGTCTTATTCTTTGAACTGTAGTTTACCACTACAATATGTCTAAAGGATAACAATTGAGGTGGTATGTAAATACACCTGAAACTATAACCTAGATAGATATATAGATTTATAGATATATGAATATATCCTATATATCACATTCCCACTAATCTTTTGCCAACACAGTAATTAATTTAATAATACATCAACTGCTGATAACTCACGTTGAAATTATAATCAAAAGCTCTGAACTGCCTTGCTAAAAAATGTGAGCAGAGTGGGATTTCAAGGGCTTCACAAATCTAAAGGTCGTCCCTGTTCTAAATTGTAGCTAGCCTACATCTCCCACAGTGTAGATTTTATTCTTTTTATATTGCACGTTTATATTTTGTTGTATCTCACTGTACTGATTTTTGGGAGGATCTTCTCAGGGCTGTTTTGGGACTCAGTAACATTTTTTTCCTCTGCAGATATTTAGTGTGCATCTATTATATGCTACACACTGTGCCAATGAGCGTGAATAAAGTGACAAGATCTTTTTGAGTTGTAAAGATCATTTTCAGTGCCAACCACTATTACTGATTTTCTGTTGTTGATTTCTTGTGGGTTTGTTTTCTTGACCCTTCCTGAAATGATCTCTTTCCTTTTCTGAGGACCTCAAATCTGGTGTACCTTTCCTCTGCAGGAGCACTCTCTCTCCTTTCTGCTTATTGGATACCTACTTCCTTTCCTCCAGCACTGTCTGAAGTCTTTTGGATTTTTTTTGTCTTTTTACCATTTTTCTCCCTGAAGCCCTTGCTTATTCTTCTTCCTTAATCTTACAGCTCTAGGTGGTCTGTATTCATTTGAATGAATGATGGCAGTTTAATCATTTCCTTTCTCCTTCTTGGGCTCTTGAAGCTGGCCCTGCTACCAGCTTTCCCTTTAGTTATGTAAGGACAAGGCCTGTATCCTCATCTAGAAGCAGCAAATAGTCTCCAGAAACCACTACCACATCTTTGTAGAACAGGAAGAGGATTGAGTATTGGAAAGGCCCTTCAGCATCACATAGCTTACCCTCTTCATCTTGTCCCCCTCACATCAGCGTGACCTATTAAACTCAAGCTACAGTACATCTGGCTGTCTTGATGATTTCTAAGCCCATTAAACGTTTAAGTCTAGAAATAAGAGTGTGTGCCAGGTGGTTAGTTCTCTCTTGGCCCTGCCATGATTCCATCTCACAGTCCTCCTTCCCCGGTCCAGCCCCCATCCCTAGCCACGACCGTTAGGCCTTTATTTCATAGTAGTGTTTGGACCCAGTCACAGAGTTATGTTTCAAAGAAAATGAGTAAGTTTAGCCTGGATCGGTTTTCTAAAATTGCTTCAAAGTTCTCTGGAGAATCCTGAATCTTTCCCATAATGTTTTTACCAAAGTTCTGTTCATGTTTTCTTTACTTCAAAGAATTTGACGTGTTACATAGCCACATCTTGAACTTATTACAGTGAAGTGATAATCAGGATCCCCAGCAGAGAAATCTCTTGCTGAAATCTGCATTCCTTTGGTATACTACACCAACTCGAAGAATCTTCTTTAATTCTTTCTCTTTTGCGCTCCTCTCTCATCCTCTTGGGGAAAGAAGGTATGTTTTGCTACCCAAGCTATCGGGGACATGCTGAGCTGCTGTGTTGTAGACTGAATTGTGTCTCCCCAAAATCATATGTTGAAGCCCTGACCCCCAGTGTGATAGTGTTTGGAAAGAGGGCCTCTAGGAGATAAGTAGGTTTAGAGAGATCAGAGGATAGATCACTTGTGATGGATTGGTGCCTTGTAAGAAAAGACACCAAAGAGCTTGTTCTCTCTCCCCTAAGACCCACGCCATGTGATGACACAGTGAGAAAGTGTCCATCTACAAGCCAAAAAGAAAACTCTTACCAGAAACCAACCATGCTGGCACCTTTATCTTGGATTTCTAGTTTCTAGAACTGTGAGAAAATAAATTTCTGTTTAAGCTAACCACTGTTTGGTATTTTGTTGTGGCAGCCCAAGCTGACTAAGGCAGATTTGGGTACTAGGAGTGCGGTGCTGCAATAGCTAATACCTAAACATGTGGTAGCAGCTTTGTAACTGGGTAGAGGCCAGAAGAAGCTTGAGGTGCATGCCAGAAATATGGACATTAAGGACAATTCTGGTGAAGTCTCAGAAATGAGGAACATGTTATTAGAAACTGAAGGAAGGGCAGTCCTAATTATAAAATGGCAAAGAACGTGGCTGGACTGTGATGTAGTGCTTTGTAGCAGGAAGAATTGTGAGCAATGCGTTTAGATATTTAGCTGAGGAGATTTCTAAGCAAAGTGTTGGTGGAGCAGCGTAAATCCTCCTGACTGCTTATACTAAAGTGTAAATGGAGAGAGAAGAATTAAAGATAGAATTGTTAAGGAAAAAAGAACTAGAATTTGAAGATTTGGAAAATTCTTAGCCTCTCCAAATTGCAAAAAATGAGGAAGCTTGTTCTGAAAAGAACATTAAGTGTGTGGCTGGAAAACAATCTGATAAAGAGTTTACAGGATTTTCGAGCAGAAATACTGCCAGTTTGAACTGAAGGGGACAGAGATGTGGCAAAATGAAGAAAGGCTGTTGGACTTCTTGGATTTGACAGGTGGGATGATGGAGCGGTGTGGCTGTGAACATGGATTATGCTTCAAGAAGGAGGAGAAATGACCCCAAAGGCAAATCAGAGATCATCAGGCCACTGCCTCAGTTTCAGCAGGCCTTATGCCTCTGCTGGGAGCCTTGGGGGGCTCAGTGGGCTTGACTTCCAGTGGGCCTAGAAGATGGGACATTGAACCAAAAAGGATTATTCTTGATCCTTAAGACCTGATGGAATTTGTTTTGCTAGGTTTAAGACTTGCTTGGGTCCTGGGGCGCCTGGGTGGCTCAGTTGGTTAAGCGACTGCCTTCGGCTCAGGTCATGATCCTGGGGTCCTGGGATTGAGCCCCGCATCAGGCTCCCTGCTCAGCCGGAAGCCTGCTTCTCCCTCTCCCACTCCCCCTACTTTTGTTCCCCCTCACGCTGTCTCTCTCTCTCAAATAAATAAATAAATAAAATCTTAAAAAAATAGACTTGCTTGGATCCTGTCACCACTTACTTCCTTCTGATTCCACCCCCTTTTTTTAAGGGGGGGGGCGGAGGACAGAAGAGGGGGAGAGAGAGAGAGAGAGAGACAATCTTAAGCCGGCTCCATGCCCAGCACAGAGTCCAACTCGGGGCTTGATCGTCAGTCTCAGGACCCTGAGATCGTGACCTGAGTGGAAATCAAGAGTCGGATGCTTAACCGACTGAGCCACCCAGGCACCTCTCTCTTTTGGAATGCAAATGTATACCCAGTGCTGTCCTATCATTATATTTTGGAAGCATATAGCTTAATCTAGTTCCTCAGGTTCATAGCTGGAGAGGAATTTTGCCTCAGAACGAACTGTATCTTGAGTTTCACCCATATTTGACTTAGATGATATTGGGTGAAACTTGGACTTTAGAATTGATGCTGGGGGGCGCCTGGGTGGCTCAGTCATTAAGCATCTGCCTTTGGCTCAGGTCATGGTCCCAGAGTCCTGAGATCGGGCCCCACATTGGGCTCCCTGCTCGGCGGGAAGCCTGCTTCTCCCTCTCCCACTCCCCCTGCTTGTGTGCCCCCTCTCACTGTCTCTCTCTGTCAAATAAATAAAATC